GGTTTTGTTATAATATTTAAACACATCATTATATTCCTCACTAAGACATGACAAAGAATTAATAAAAATTAAATTTTTTAAAATTCTTTATAATCAAATTGGTATCAAGAGTTAGGGTTTCTCAAAAAAATTAGGATTTCTCAAGAGAGTTAAGGTTTCTCATAATTCAGTTTAAGAATGAGAATGATTGGTTTGACGAATGCTGTAATTATGTCCCGACTAACAAAGGATGTCAGTTATGATAAATGAAGTATCCAAATGAAGGCTCTTCTCAAAATCCAACATCCGCAAGCAAGGCGTTGAAGAGAAATGTTTGAAGGATAGTGCAACTTTGTTCACTTTGTGTTCAAACTATAGAAGATTTTGATTTTGAGAAGATCGCAGAAGTTACATCTATAAACAAAACATGGATGACGTTGAAAACAACATACAAGGGTGATATAAGAATTTGATTACATACATTATATGGTGAATTTGATTACAGACACCAAAGTAGTTGGAAGAAGTTTTCGAGTACATCAAGCGTGTTAAAATGTGGTGAATCAACTTAATTGGGATGAAGAGGTGATTTCTGAAAATCATGTTGTACGAAAAATCTTAAGGTCGTTAACAATGACTTTGAGAACAAAGTGTGCATGATAGAATAATCGAGGGACCTATCCGAGCTCACAATTCAAGAGTTGATTGGTTCTCTTAGAGCCCATAAATTCCGAAAGAAGAAGATGAAGAAGAAGACAATTATGCAAGTGCTCTAGAGTGAGGTAAAAGAGAAGAATACACTTTATTCTCAAAACACTAGAAGTAGAGGACGATGTCGTAGTGGTTGAGGATGACTTGACCAAGGTAAGGAGAAGGAAAAAGGATATTAGAAAAAACTAGCAAAATAATGGGCGTGGTTGGAGAGGAGGTCGGTCGACGAGTCATTATAATGTTGAGTGTTTCAAGTGTGACAAATATAGTCACTAGGCAAATGAATGTTACTCATACAAGTGTTACAATTATGGTGAGATTTGACACTTTGCGAAAGAATGTCAAAAGGTGGAAAAGACCTATCTCGCAGAAGAAACAAAAACTAAAGAAGTAATACTGTTGATGGTCGATCACAACTCGACAACTAATAAAAATGGCAATCACAAATCAGCAATACACAAGGGAGCAGATGTTGATCACAACTCGACAATACACTTGAGAGAGTAGATTACAACTCAGAAAGTTCGGTATGATATTTAGACACTGGTGTAAGTAACCACATGTGTGGGGGCGAGAACCTATTTAGGAAATTGGAAAAATTTAAGAGTGATCATGTGTCTTTTGGAGAAGATTCAAAGGTCTTGAGAAATTGCTGAAGTACTATTTATTTCTTGCATAATCATGTGTCGGAGTAATTTTTTAGTATGGAACAACTGAAGGAGAGAGGATATTCGGTATTCATAAAAGACCGAATACTAGGGATGACAAAACGGGCTAGGCCCGGAGGGCCGGTCCGCCAGCCCGCCATAATATGGCGGGGCAGGTTGGTGTTTTCAGCCCACCAGCCCGCTTTGGCCCGCCTCGCCAAGCCCACCAACCCATCGGGCCAACCCGCGGGACGGGCGGGCCGGCCCGCGACCCGCCTAATTAATAAAAAAATAAAATTTTATTGTAATAAAATTAATTATAAAGATAATATATAAAGTTAAAATTTTTAGAAAGAGAATTAAAAAAGTTTTATTCTCACGGAAAATATTCTCCTTCCTAAAACATAACATTCTCTCTTGTTCTCCTTATTTATCCTAAGCACTCGATTATTTTTATCCTTATTACTTGAATTAATGGTGTAAGAATTACTCAACCAAGAATAATATGAAGTTTTATCAAATAAAAAAGATATAGGTATTTGAATTTTTCAATATAAAAAATATAAATTTTATAAGTTTAACGTTATATATATATATATATATATATATATATATATATATATATATATATATTTGTTATTATTTAGTATTATGTAAATTTTATTATTGTTCTAAATTATAATTTCTTAAAATAATGTATTGATTTATATTATTAAATTGAAATAATATATATATATATATATATAGAATTATTGACAAACAAATAATAATTTTATTATTAAATTTATTAAAAAAAATAAAAAAATATTTTTTTCTAAATTATGGCGGGTCGACCATGACAACCCACTGGCGGGGCGGGCCAAGGTCTACAGCCCGTCATGACTATATCGGGTCAGCCCGCCCCGTCTCGCGCCGCTTTTGGCGGGCCAAAGGCGGGACGGGCCAAAACGAGGTGGGCTGACCCGTTTTGCCATCCCTACCAAATACTATAATTGAAAGACAAGCTTGGAAGGTTGATTGACGAAGTAAAGATGAGGAAGAATATAATGTACAAGTTGTAGACGAGAAGCATTCTGAAAAGGAGTTTGAAATTAATGTAGAGGACACGTTAAAGAAAAATCATTAATCTGGTCATATGCATTTGTATGGTCTAACCAAGTTTAGTCATGATGTTGATTCGGACGTCCGAATTAATACAACGAGTGAGTGGAACTGGGAAGAATTAAATGATGCTAACTGAGGAGAAAGAAACAATAATATCGGTGAAGTTGAGGAAGAACATGAAGAGCATGGTGCTCAGATCGCTTAGCATGGAGGGGAGAGTTTGCGAAGGTGTGGTGACAATTGAACTTCAAAAAAATATCGAGTACACAGAAATTTTGAGTCAAGTTGGAGTAGTGGATTTCAAAGTGACCATGTCCTAGTTGTTGTGGATAAAATTATTCGAGTTGTTATAAACGTAAATGTCCAAACTATTGTAGATGAAAAGATCCAAGCTGATATTGAAAAGAAGATTTGAGTTGTTATGAATAAAAATATATGAGTTATAGAACACAACGACACGTTGGTGATGACTGGATTATTGAGTTATGACCAAGTTGATGGTGTGAAGAAGATATTTAAAAAAGGTGAGAAACTTTTGGCTTTTGACTTAGCTCAATCAAGAGAAAAGAAATGAAGCGTTGTTAGGCGAGGATAAATAACCTGATGTAATAGTAATCTAAATTGATAACAAGTCGATCATTGAACTGGTGAAGAATTCGATCAACCATAGGAGGAATAAACATATTGATGTGCGTTTTCATTTATTTTGATAACAATTAAAGGAATAGGATATGAAACTCGTACATGTGACAAGTCGAAATCAAATTATTGATACCTTCATGAAGCCACTGTCTATTGTGTGTTATTCAAGAACTGTAAGAGGCTAGTCGGTATGGAGGATGGAAAAGACACTTAAGTGCTCAAAAAGACAATAAATCGGCTAGTTGGAGCTCATAAAATTTGGAGCTCATGATGTTTTGAAGCTTAGGAAGTTTTGAAGTTAGGCAAGTCGGAAAGTTGGAAGGTCTGGTCAAGTCGATCTTAATTTTTGCTGTAGAGATATTTAATTTTATGGGAGAGTTTTGTTGAATAAAATTAAATACGAAAGATAATTTAGTTTAAGAGTTTATTACGATAAAATTAAATAAAAAAGATAATTAAAATTTTGATAAGACATCTTGATTTTTGTTGATATTTCAGCTACGTTAGTTGGGTATATTATTTGATTTTGAGAGTTTTTATTTTTTAAGATAAAATTAGAATTTTATAGTAATATTTAAATACAAAATTATATTATTCATTGAAATGATAAATAATCAATAAAATTTTAATTTTTTAAAATTTTTTATTATCAAAATGCACGTAAAACAGAATTAAAAAAATAAAAATAAATACAGCAACACATTTTCTTAAAATGGAATGTAAGGACGAAGAATTTATAGATGCAACAAGAGCAATGACTGGAACCAGGTTCCAAATGATAACAAAAAAGAGCTATTATTATAAAAATATTTGTATGATAAAAATTAACCAACAAAACCTGCAATATTGAAAGAGGAACTAAATACACTATGCTTTTTAGTTTTAGGATATAGTATTATTAATTTTAAAAGTTAAAAAAAAAAGAAGAAGAGAGTATACAGACAAAAAAATATATATGAATAAAACCTATAGAACAATTATTTAAATGATTTAATACTCAAATATACACAATTAATTATTAACAAAAGTATACGGGTACTACAGATAGTATCATTAAAAGAAATCCATATCCATCTCATGAGAGCACACAATTCCACTTGTTGGGTGCTTGATATTATTTAACCTAAACTTGTTGAGCTTGCTAGGAGGAAGATGATTAAAGAGATCAATTTTCAATGAAAACTGTGGGACACTGTTATCCCTTCAGAATGATTAGTGCATCTTTTGTGACGAAACTGTAGTAATTAAAGATATCTAACATCTGATCTGAGTGAGCAGTAATACTGAGAGAGTTCGTTATTGTGATGGTGCAAACCGAGTCAGTTTTCCATGGAATACAGAGAAAGCCTTGGAAGGTCACGAATCCCTAGTGAGAAAAAGGTAGCAAGTAGCCACCCTACCATCATAAAAGCCAACAAAGAAGTCAAACTTTGCTTACACAGACAAAGCTTGAGTAGTTATAGGCTTACAGTAACTTAGTTTTGGAATTTCACTATTTTAATACCAACTACTATCATATTCCTGTGCCTCTTTAGTCACCTACTTTGAAAAAGAATTGGTGACATTTTCTCCTTTCTTGCTCCCCCTTGTCCCCTATGGTCCTACCACACCAATCAATGATTCAACACCTTGATGTTTATCATCCCTTCCATATCTGAATACACACAAATTATCTCTAGTTTAGTCACGGTCATATATGCCAGCCATTATTCAGTCACACCTTTGTCTTTGCAGCACACACAAGACCCTCCAAAGTTCCAAAACAGTCCAACCCTCGAATTCCTAGGTATCTTATTTGCTTCTTGTCTTCACACCACACCCATCATTACCTCTCCATTTTCATAAAGTCACCCTTCAACCTTATATACTTGTATATATTTGTTGCACACAACAAAGGTTGCTTCCAACAATCAAAACATGGGTCACATGAGCTACAACAGAGTTAGCAGTGGCAAGGTATCAAGGTGCAGAGGATTTAGATTGAACCCCAGAAAGCTTTATGTTCTCAGGCTACGTAAGAGGTTCAATTTCTTTCTTAAGCTCTTTGATAGTTGGAAACTGTCGTATGGTGAGGCTATTCAACTGCTGAAGAAACTGGTTTGCAGAAAAGGTGGCTTCAAAAGAAACAACAGCAACAACAGTAACACATGTTTGGTGAGGCAGGAAAAAATCAAGGGACAAGATGATTGTAGGATGAGATCTTGTGGTAAGTCCAATTCTTTCTATGCAGAAGCCATTGCAGATTGCTTGGAGTTCATTAAACGAACATCTATTTCATCCATGGACCAAAGTCAAGACCCAATTAACCATATTCAAGATAGAAAGTAGAAACTCATGGCTGCTTTTTTGGTAGACAGAATATATCATTATATTGGCTCATATGCAGAATTATCAGTTTTTCTTCCTTATTTGTTGGCGTTCTATTAAGATTTTTATGCATTCCTTTGTTTATTTTATTTTTCTTTATCAACTCTAGGATTGCATGAGAAACATAGCTATTGCACTCCCTGTGAATATTTCATCTCTAGTTTTGCATAGGTAATGGGTCATTCTCTGTAAAAATGTTCGAGAAATGTCAGGAAATTTAATGTGTAAAATGTGTTCGTTTAATTGGAAATCTTGTTGAATGTAAGCGTGTTGAATTTTCTTCTTTGTGGTGGCAAATCGCAAGGAAGATTCCCAAGTTTGGATTACTACCTAACACGACATTAATTTTTGACTAATTAAGCATAAAGTAATTAAAGGGAAAGTATTGTTGACATTAGAGAGGGGAGCAATCATACCCTTAAATTTATAATTTGTTTCATTGTTATTATTCAGTGTGCATGGTGTTCATTTCTAGCTATATTAAATTGAATACTTTTGATTCTCATATCGATGCTGACATGAGCCATCCACCACACACTAATCTCACCAAGCCGTGTAAAAAAGAAACTTTTCATGACGTTGAATATGGATTCTACCATTGTAAAAAAATAATTATTCTTTGAATGAAAAAAATAAATAAATTAAAGTACTAAAAATAATCTTAAAAAACATAATTTTGTAGGTTTAACTTAAGTGTCGGTTAGAACAGGAGTGGGTTTGATGTTGGCTCCTGGAGCAGACTACAAGGAAGACCAGGTGGTGTGTGAGGAGGGAACATGTGTCAGGCTTCACCCCATTTATAGTACCAACAACATATGTCAACTTCCAAACAATGTTTTTTAAAAGGCTTAATCCGATAACATGGACAAAATTTAATAAAGTGTGTTATTAGACCCTGATTTTGATATGTTCCAATCTCTTTCAGTGTCGATGGAAGTGTTATAGGCTTAAAGGTTAAGCACAGCTTCAAAGCTTTACTTGTTAAATGATTTATGATTTGGTTGATAAAAAGTGTATAAAATAGTAAATGACAAACTCAATTAATGTTATTATATAGTGGTAGAAGAGATTTAATTGATTTAATGACAATTAATAAAGATGATAATAAAATATTAGTAAAAAAAATTAATAGAATTAGATAAATTAATTATTCATTTATTTATGTAATTTTGTCTAAAGTATCTTAAAATAAATAGTGGATGAGATGTAATTTTATTTTACACCTTTATTATTTTGTGATACCTCTAAAATTTGTTAAAATGTATAAAATAATATTTATCAATTTAAGAAAAACATAGAAAACCAACTTAGAACTAAATATTTTATAGGAATTAAAATATAGAAACCTAAATTTGATACTGCGTGATACCTCTAAAATTTATTAAACTGTATAAAATAATGTTATTTATCTATAAAAAATAAATATAAAACCAAAACATACGAAGACAAAATGTAATGTCATAACGAAACAATTGAGCATTAGAAAGTAGCATCCTATTTTTCTTAATTTGATTTATTGGTTACCTAAATAAAATTGTTTAATTGTGTTTATTATATGCATTATATTTCTTAGATGGACTAAGGAATGAAGCGTCTTTTGAGTGACAAAAAGAAAACAAGGTGGTGCGAATAAGAATAGAATGTTTCGCAGCCCAATTTAGCTTGTGTAGGCTTAAAAGTTAAAACCATGGAACCAGTATCATTTGGACCCAATTGGTGATTGACCCAACCTAATTATTACCCTATGAACCTTTGCTCTTACAAGATTAAGTTTTTATTTAATTATTTTTTCTAAAGTAAATTGAATGTCATTTTAATTAAAAATAAAGATATATTTAAAAAGTGTATATAAGGTTTTGGCACATGATAACTTGTGCTCAAGATTGGAAAGAACAAAGTTCAAATGGAGATGTGAAATGGCAAACAAAGCACAACCCAACCAAGACATATTCTTTCCGTCGTCGTCGCAGCTCCTGTGAAGCAACGTATAATTGTTGTTAATGTTTCGTAGCTTCAAATTCGGAACCACACTGAGAGAATGACCTCGCTGCACTGAAAAGAAGAGAACAGAAACGCGATTCGCGAAGATCAATCGGGGACAGTGAAAATGAGAATTTTCCCAAACACCTTCTTCACCAAAGCCCGCAACGTCATAGGCTTCGGCCTCGCTTCCACAGCCGCCGCCGCAGTCGTGGCTTCCTCCGTGTCTTCTTCTCCTTCATCTTCTCCCTCATTCACTTCCACTTCTACCTCTTCTTCCGATGCTGACGATACTTCATCCTCCGACGTGGAAATCGTCCACCGGAAAATACTGAAAACGAAGCTTTGCATTATCGGCAGCGGGCCGGCGGCACACACTGCCGCTATATACGCCGCGCGAGCGGAGCTGAAGCCAGTCCTATTCGAAGGCTGGATGGCAAACGGCGTCGCTCCCGGAGGCCAGCTCACCACCACTACTGACGTTGAGAACTTTCCGGGATTCCCGGCCGGCATTCTTGGCGCCGAGCTCATGGACCGTTTCCGTCAGCAGTCGCAGCGCTTTGGCGCAGAGGTCGTTACGGAGACTGTGACGACGGTTGACTTCTCCGAACGGCCGCTTAGGGTTTTCACTGACTCCATCACCGTGGAAGCTGAATCCGTCATCGTCGCCACCGGCGCCGTTGCTAAGCGGCTGAATTTCGACGGCGCGGGTGACGGCCCGGGCGGGTTCTGGAACCGCGGGATATCGGCGTGCGCCGTGTGTGACGGTGCCGCGCCGATATTCCGTGGCAGGCCTCTGGCGGTGATCGGTGGCGGCGATTCTGCCATGGAGGAAGCTAGCTTCCTTTCCAAGTTTGGTTCCAAGGTGTATATAATTCATAGGAGGGACAAGTTTAAGGCTTCTAAGATCATGCAGAGGAAGCTGATGAATAATCCCAAAATTGAGGTATTGTGGAATTCAGTGGTGGTTGGGGCTTATGGGGATAATAAGGGTAAGGTTCTTGGAGGGGTTAAAGTGAAGAATGTGGTGACTGGAGTTGTGTCTGATTTGAAGGTTTCTGGTTTGTTCTTTGCAATTGGGCATGAGCCTGCCACTAAATTCTTGGATGGTCAACTTGAATTAGACCCTGATGGGTACGTTGTGACCAAACCTGGCACCACAAAGACCAGTGTTGATGGAGTTTTTGCTGCAGGTGATGTCCAGGATAAGAGGTATAGACAAGCTATTACCGCAGCTGGCACTGGTAAGTCTTGTTTCATTAAATTTATTCTCAAATAAATTAGGTTTTTTCGTTTGTGATAGTTATGGATTAATGTGATATCAGATTACTGGTTTTGAAACTGGGTTTTTTAATTTGATGGCCATGTTTTCTGTGTTTATTATACATCTTTTTAGCAAATTTATATTATGAACAGGTTTTGTTACTAATAGTATAACTTACTATTAGGTTCATTTAATGTTTGGTTTTGAAACTTGTCTTGGAACTCATGTTTTCTCCATGTTCTCAACATCTTCTAATTTTATTTTATTTGGAAATGGCATTTGGTAGAATCACTTTTTGAATATCTTTCAACATACTTTCTGATTATTCGGTGTCCACCCATCTAGTAATCCACGGTTTCTTACCTTATGTTTAGGTGACGACATAATCTTTAGTTTGCTCACCTTCACCTTAGTTATGTACACGATATGATAATAATAGTGTTTCTATCAACCATGTTCTATTATAACTTACAAGTCATAGTTATTGTAAACTAATTCCAGCGTTTTATTTTTCATTTCTGATTTGGGAGTTAGTACTTGACAATATAAGACAGAATACAGAATTGAAATTTGGATGAAGGGACCGAAGCTTAAATTTGATTAATGGATGACTTGTATTTGGTTATGAACCCAATTTTTTATTAGTCATTAATCTATTCTGAGAGAAAATAAAATAAAGTAAAATTGAAGGGAACGAATTGTAAGGATTTGGTATCAGCTAATTATTTTGCCTTTATACTTGAATTTTTGAACTAGAGGCGATTTAGATCGTGCGATAAAATTGATTTAACTGATTGTGGCTTTGAGTGTTTGTTGGTCATAGCATCATAATATGCTCATGACAAATGAGAATGAGATCTAATGCAGCAAAAGCTATATATATTCTGGCAAAGGATAATGGAAATCATATTATTGGTGCAGGGTGTATGGCAGCCTTGGATGCAGAACATTACCTGCAAGGCACTGGTTTACAAGATGGTAAGAGTGTTTGATGTTTATTTGGAGTTCAGAAAGTGAAGACTTTTCTTTCTCCAGTTTAAGTGAACATATTTATCTGTACGGATGATACTCACAGACGAGCATACTAACATGATTTTCTAAGCTATTGTTTGTCTGTTGTCAATCCTCTGTTTGTGAAAAAATGCAAACTCGATGGAAATAGAAATAAGGAAATAATGGATTGAAATACAAAATTTCTACGATTTGTACGTCGACGAAAACTATTCATTTTTAGAAATAACTCTAAAAATAATATATTTTTAAAAAAATTACTCAATAAAATCTACATGAATTTATTCATTTTACTGAAATAGACTTATATATTGATATGTAATTTTTCTTTGACACAAGGTCATAAATAATATATTTAAAAAATAATTCTTCAAATAGAATTTTTATAAGTTTATTTATCTAATTAAATCGGTTTATTGTTTATGTAAAACAAATTTGTTTGAGATAATACAATTATGTTTTTTCTTTTTGTTTTTTTGTCTTTTTTTTTTATTCTTTTCTTATTTTATTTTATTCTTTAATTAAAATAATATACTAAAATTTGATAACATGAGTTCTTTATTATTATTGAAAAATAAAAAAATTTAAATGATCTAAAAAAATTATAATTTAATATATTTTATAAGATTATTATAAAAAAATAAAAAAAATTAAATGATCTAGAAAAACTATAATTTAATATATTCTATAAGAAAAAATATCATATATAAATTTGAAATATTACAAATATTATTATGTTATAATTATTAAAAAAATTAAATATTTATTTAAAATTATTTTTTAATAAATATTTTTTAAAATACCTAATTATCATAACTCATTCTAATTATAATTAGATTAAATATTAAATAAAAATACATTTAAGTTATAAATATTTTATATTTATTTAATTAAATGAATAATTATTTATTATGATAAAATAATTTTAAATTAATTTTTATGTCATAAAAATAAAATTATTTATTATTAAAATAAATAAAATTATTTGTTATCATTATAACTTTAAATATTTAGTTAATATTCTTCTAGTTCCACTTTGTCTTAAAAAAAATTAACATATTTTTATTAAATTTCAATAGTGTAGTTAGAGAAAAGAGATGAAAATAAGAGACTTAAAATAGAAAAGAATAAGATGAAAAGTAAACGAAGAAAGAAAAAAAATTATAAGAAGAGAGAAGAAAAAACGAATCAATTCCCTAAATAATACAGTTAAAAAATTTATTTAAATAGAATATCTGAATTTATTTATCCAATTAAACTTATTTCCTGTTTATATACAAAATTCAATAAGTCAAAATAAATTTATCTAACCTAATATAATTATTTTTTTCTTTTTTTACTCATTTATGTTTTTATTTTTCTTTCCTCATTTATTTTATTTTATTTTTCCTGTCTTGTGTTTATCTTCTTCTTCTTCTTTTTAAGAAAATATTATAAGATAAAATCTAGATGTTACAACTATTATTGTTACATTATAATTATTAAAAAAATTAAATATTTATTTTGAAATGTTTTTTTAAGTTAGCTAATTTAACTAATTATTATAACTCAATTTAATTATAACTATATTAAATTATTAAATAAAAAATACAGTTAACTCATAAATAATTAATATTTTTTAATTAGATAAATAATTATTATTAATGATAAAATAATTTTGAATTAATTATTTGTTATAGTAAATAAACTAATGTATTATCAAAATAAATTCATAATTTTAAATAATTAGTTAATATTTTTTAATTTTAATATTGATTTTAAAATATTTTTATTAAATTGTAATATAATGGTTTAATTAAGAGAATAAGTAAGAGAGAAACAAGAAAAATAATAGACCTAGATTAGAAAAGAGAAAAAACTACGTATAAACACTAAACATTTCTAATTGAATAAATAAATTGATACAAATTTTTTTAAAATAATTTTTTTAAAATATATTATAGGAATAAATTTATAAACTTACCAACGGTTTGATTTAGGTTTATGTAAATCAGATTATAAATGGAATCAAATCAAATAATTTGATCTAGATTATAATTCTTTTTAGTAAACTTAATTTTTTTTTTTTACTTTTCATATAATCAAATTTATTTTAACAATTCTTAAAAAAAAAACACATTTTTTCTTGAATTCCCATGCAATAGTGATGAACAAATTTTAATATACAAAATAAAGAAAAATATATATTATTTAAAAACAAAAATATTGTTAACATGTTAATTTTTAAAGTGTAGATATATTTGAATATTTATTTTTGTAGTGAATAATATCATACCATGCGAATGGAAAAGTCTCTTTGAAACCTTTGAAACATAAAATCAAACATTTAAACTATGATGAATTTAGTTTTTTTTTTCTAATTTTGAAAATAAATTATAAAAAAGTTGTTTGATAACTCTAATTTTGAGAACTTTTTTAAAATGTTATATTATTTCTCAAAATGTCTTAATAATGCAAAATAAAAACAAAATGTTATTTAAATTAAATTTTATTTGCAATGATTAAAAGATTAAAATCACACAATTACATCAATATAAAAATTATAAAATTGACATAAAGTATATAATATATAGACTGATTTTACGAACTATCACACCCAAAACGTTACTAAATGTTTTATGTTTTATAATATTGGCACTCAAAACATTCCTAAATAAATATATCATCCAAGAAGTGTTCTTCTTTACGGTTATGAATAGGTATAAAAAAGTGTTATCCTTTTATGGGTATGAATAGGTATAAAAAGGTGTTCTGTTTTAGGGTAGGTATAAAAAAAAGTGTTCTCTTTTATGGGTATGAATAGAATAGGTATGATGAAAATGTTGGATGAGGATCAATATATTTGATTAATCATATAAAAGTACCTTATCACCTATAGGCAACGGATGTTTGCTTAGGCAGACGCGAGAGATCATGACAGTGATAGATCCAGTAGGGCAGGGCAGGACTGCTTATTAGGAGGAAGAAGATGGGATGCCAAATGCCAGGGTACACAATATTCCAACCACTAAAAAGATGCCTTCCATGTTTTTCTGGTGGAACAAGCTCTACCCAACGTAATCATCAAAGGAGGGCATAAGAATTTGACCAACAGAGAACAGGATCCATACTACATACCAAACAACAAGAAAGCGAAATTAGAGACACGTAAATGTTGAACCAGAGACTATTATTAACAACTCTACATCCCATTTGGAAAACATATCTGCTCTTGCTAAAATTACAAATTAACCAGATGGATCTTACCAACATATGAAAAATACTACAGACTAAAGTACCACATCACTAAAGCAGTAATAGTTTTTTAAACAAGAGAATAATAGCACACGACACAAATGATTTCTTTTTTGGAATACAAATACAACTCTAATCCCAAAAGTGTGGCTCTTGTTTTCCTCCACCCTCAGATCCCCGTCCCTCTGTACAATCTCCATAAGATAATATCCCCCGCACGATGCAAATATTCAATGAAAGCCGACCAACCACACTTTTTGGGAGCTGGATTTACTCCTGGAAGATGCCAACCATCACTTTATCTTCAACCTCAACACCATCGATACCCTTTTTTTTTTTTGTAATTTTTGTCGTTATGTGATGGTTTGCTTATTGGTCTCTTAGACAAGTCAACTGAACTGTGCCAGCTCAGGAGACAATTTTAGACATATCCCTGCTAGATCTGTTGTATTTCATGTGGCTCTTTACAAGTTGGCCAGCTGCAATTGCAGACATGAGTGATAGCTCCCCGGCCAGGACTGAACCGGCTACAATGGTGGCCAGTAGCCTAGAATTTGCACCAGGAGATTCTTTATTGGCACCCTTGACACCAAGTAAATTAAGACATGCAGACTGAGATGCGAGCTGTGTGCCCCCTCCAACAGTACCAACCTGAGAACCACAAGGACGAAGGATCTTATCATTATACTCAAGCTAGCTAAGGAAGCAATTAAAAAGGGAAGGAATTAAAGAAAGAATAAAACAGGTATAGTTTGAATTCATTCACAAAGAAATATCTACACATAGTGGATAAGTATTACATCCTGCACAGAAATAATTTTTTTTCTCACAATATATAGGGAGATTAAAACAGATAGCAAACAGAAAACAATGATAGTGAAAAAAATCGAGGTAAAACCAGTCTAACATAAATATTGAGGGCACTGAATTTTAGATTTTAATGATATCTTCTTACAGGAGTTAAATTGTAAGGCACAGAGGTAAGGACCCAACCACCAGGCCACTACCTAAATCATGGACCAATACAACAACGTGCAGACATGCTTATATGAGTAATGGGACATGAATTGCATCTATCAATACAGAAAAATATCGACTAGAAAACTGTATTTTTTACCTAAAAAGGTGGTCCACATTAACTAAACTTGAATATAAAAGTCAGAGAAGCAGTTGTACCTCAACTGAGGGCATGGTCACAGAAACGTGAAGGTCCTTGCCATCATTGACAGCTTCCATCATGGTGATGCAGTGAGAACTCTCCACATTCTGGGCAGGATCCTGACCAGTAGCTATGTAGATAGCAGACACAATATTGCTAGCATGGGCATTGAACCCACCAAGAGCACCAGCCACAGCTGAGCCAGTAAGGTTTTTTAGCATGTTAAGCTCGACTAGGGCCTCGACACTGGTCTTCAACACCTTATTCACCACATCCTCCTTAATTACGGCCTCACACACCACAGACTTGCCACGGCCTTCAATCCAGTTAACAGCTGCAGCTTTCTTGTCCGAACAGAAATTTCCTGGTGCAAAACAACAGGGTATGTGAGTATTTCAGCTACTGCTTTCATCATGGCAGAGAAAAGTGTAGTAAAAACCCATAAAGAAGGTCATGTTTACCAGAGATTCCAATAACATCCATGTCAGGGAAGTCTGTCTGAAGAAAATCAAGGACATTTTGAACACCTTTTGACACCATGTTCATCCCCATGGCATCACCAGTGCTGCATCGAAATCTCATGTACAAATTCTTGCCCGCAATAGCACACTGAATACTCTGCAGCCTGGCAAATCTGCTTGACCTGCGCATATATCCATTACACATTAATCAATCATTATAAGAAACAGGCAGTAATTACGGCTCGCAATATTTCTAGAAGACAAAAAGCAATGACAGGTCACACAGCTATTCTTAAGGACACCCTGCAATTACAATAAAAAATAAAGGATTTTTTTTTTTTTTAGAACCAAGATTTTTTAAACATCCAATAAACAACCTTTGTGTTGATTGATGCAATGAGAACGAAGTAAAATTGATAAATAATAATATATAAAAATCTAAAGATGGTTATTGGATAAATAATAATATATAAAAATGTAAGATGGTTGTTGGATAAATAATAATATATAAAAATCTAAAGATGGTTGTTGATGGATGTTTAGTAGAAAAAGATTGTCTAAAATATGACCATAACAGTAACATACGCCGTCCAAAATCACCCATTCACCGCTTGAATTCAGCCAACATTATTGTAGAAAATGTTTAGGTCAGCTGGGTCCCGGTGCTTACTAGAATCAAATTAGGCCTTCCAAAAGTACTCCCAGATTTACCCATCAACAAAACCAACCACAGAGGAATTCAAACTCATCTCATCGTGAAAACAAGTACAAATGGATCCGATAAATTAACTATGGCTGTACCTAAAATATATTTTCATAAAATTGCAAAAACAAAAGAGAAGGATATTCCTTTGCTAAATAACTTTTCCTACTTTTTCCCACGACAGAGTGAAACCTTCCCTAAAAAATATTTTCCTCAAGTTGCAAAACAAAAAAGAAAAGAGAAGATTATTTCTTTGCTTACTATCTTTTTCTAATCTTCACACGTCAGAGTGAAAACTTGGTAGCAAAACATAAAAAAACAAAATTAATAAAAAAGTGAAGGAAAAATAACTTTCAACAAATTACAAATGCCTAAGATTAAAAAGACTAACGTCCCTTTACATACTATCGTGGTTTGGGAGAATCCTCAACCACATCGCAATCATTGGTGGTCACATGCATTCACACCAGAGACATTTTCCCTTGGTGTCGGAACTACCAACGTAAAACATCGCAATCGCAACATAAAAGACGTTGGGAAAGAAGCTTGAAAGTGAAAGAAAAATGCGACGGAGAAGGAGAGAGAAGAAGAGATTACTTGTTGAAAACAACGGCAAGGGAATCGTAATTGAGAGGATCCTCCAAGAAGAACTTCAACTGCGCCGCGCGCTGAGCAGAGGGCAACCTGACAACGGGTGCTCTGGTCATGCCATCCCTGAGAAGAACAGAGGAAGCACCACCGGAGACGTAAATAGCTTTGCATCCTCTGTTGGTGCTGGCCACGAGACACCCTTCAGTGGTGGCCATAGGCACAGTGTACTCCTTCCCATCCAACAACAAGGGCCCTGCTACCCCAACGGGAATCTGCACGAACCCTATCGGCATCTCGCAGCACTGCCCCAATATCGACTCGTAGTCGAACCCCTGCACGGGTAAACCCTCAAGCGACCGCCCCGTGAGCCTCTGCACCGCCTCGCGCCGGATCGCGGCCGCCCGACCGCACTCGCCGAGGCGCGACTCCAACGAGTACGACGGGACCGACCCCGACACCACCGCCTCCACGACCTCCTCGTCCTCGGGAGACAGGGAGATCGGTGCTGGTGCGGGTGCCGGTGCTGCCATGTCAGCGGCTTTTAGAGGTGGAGGAGCTGACAACTCGTTGGGCACCGATTTGTCAACAGATTTGGAGCGTGGGAGAGGAATTTGATTGTACTTTTTCTTGGTAGCCGGGGAGTCGAGGAGCGCGGCGGGGCAAGGGCCAGGAGCGCGAGAGTCTTCGCGGAGGATGGTTTCCTCGTCGGAGAGCTCGTCGAGGGAGGTGCGGGAGGCGACGCCGAAGAAGCCCAGGAGGTAGACGGCGGATGCGACGAGGGAGACGATGGCGGCGGTTTCCGCAGGGGTGACGACGTGGAGAGGGGTGGCGGTCCGGATCTTGTCGCGCCAGCGGTGGAGGAGGAAGTAGGCGAGGGAGAAGAAAGTGGCGAAGAAGAGGGCGTTGGTGAGGTAGAGTGGGAGAAGTGCTGGCGATGGCGCGTGGGAGTGAGTGGCGTTGGTGGTGGTGGTGGTGGTGGTGGTGGTGGTGGTGAGGTTGTTGTTATTGAGCTTCTGGGTTTTGAGTGGGTGAGCGGTGGCGGGGATGGGGCGGCGGCGAAGGTCCATTTTCCGAGTCGAACTGATCCGCAGAATGCAGATGCAGAAGACGAGGGAAAGCGGAGAACCCAGAAGCTGGAGGGTGAAGGAAGTTGAGGAGGTTAAGAGATAAAAATGGGAGAGGGAGAGTGGCAGAAATGGATTTGGAGTTGAAAGGAAGAGCGAGAGTTTTGAAGGTTTTTTATAGAACCCCTCCTCTGCTTGCCGCGCTCCTCCGTTCCCCACGCGGACAGCGTGCTTCCCTTCTCTCTCCCACTTATTCCCTTTTTTATTCCACCCTTCCTTCCCCTTCTTTTTTATTCTTCTTCTCTTCTCTTCCATTTCTCTCTTCATCCCTGCTATTTCCATTCCTCATTTCTACGCCTATATCCTATTTTAATTTCAAAATCATCCTAACGTTTAACTTAAACTTCACTATGTTAAAATTGTCCATTTTAATTCAAAATAAAACTGCTATTTATAAATCCATTATTGACTCATTTCTTTAATCCTTACTTTGGATCTCCAGCTATTGTAGTTGAACAAAGATAACTGTAAATTTAAGTCAATTTTGTTTTTACCGGATCTAAATAGAAAGTTTTTTACTAATTCTTTTCCAAAAAAAATGACAGTGATGTTCATCATTCATAATATCCCAAACATCAATTTTGTTTTTACCGTTTTTATTATTATAAACAGCTACAAACAATTGGGAAGGTAATGTTAGGGAGCAAAAATCTCACTCCTCCACCATCATAACATCAAACTTGGAATGACATAGTAGTAATATCATAATAGAATTATTCTCAACATCATCAATCATAATAGCAAATTACCACTATTAATAGAGAGGAAATTTTTTTTTAGTAGTTTGTAATAACGAAACCGAAACAAAAAATGAAGTACAAATTTATACAATCAATTAAGTAATCGAATGCATCAACTATTATAATTTTTAAAATAATTTCATTTTAATTTATATATATATATTATTGAAATTATATAATTTTAAATAAATGATAAGTTTGAAATTAAATTATTCATATTATAATATTTTATTTAAAAATAAAATTATTAAATAAATATATATATATATATATATATAAATATATAAAGATCACTTATAAAAAAATAGTTTTATTTATTTATTTAAAAATTATAATAAACTTATTTATTATATTAAAAATTTATTATTTTTATCTATTTTATATTAAATTATATCTCAACTTTAATTTATATTTAGTTTTATCAAAAATATATTAAAATAATTTAAATATTTATTATTTTATTTTATCATTTAATGTTTTTAATCAATCAAATTAATCTTTATTGTTTACAATATTTTTGTTTTTATTTTTATTTTAATCTAAATAACCTTATTTTTACCTTGTTCTTTTTTTTTTCTTATTTTGTACTTTTTCAAGTCTCTTCCGTCATCCCAAAGACAAGACAACCTATCGGTAATTTTAAATTGCTTGAGTTTGTGACGTTAACGCTGTTTCCTTGAATCGGTTTCAATTGCTTGAAATGACATGACACATGCCTCACATGTTTCCTTATGAATCCGTTTGCAAATACTTTGAGCCACGTAGCTAGAATGAGTAAAATTTGCTTCTTCTTCGTCTTTTTCCAATTTTTCTTAATTAATTAGTCTCATAGACATGTTCAATATCCGTGAAGGAAAATGAAACGAGTTAATTCGTAATTTTTGTCAACTAACTATTATGCAATATTATCCAACTGTTAAATTAAAAATTCATATTGTTTTCAGTATTTTCATATATCCATGTAAGAATCGTTCTAAAATATTATATTTTAATGGTCAAACAATAAATGAAATGAGAAAAATCCGACAAAAGATAAAAGGTTGCCTTAGGTTTTTGTCAATTATAGAAAATTTGGGCAACTAAAAGCAAATAAGACAATTGGGTGATACAGAATTAGCCATAGACAAGCCAAGCCATCATGTTATAATATTGGATTGAATTGAAACAATGATTAAAGGAGTGAAAAATAAAATCACATTTTAATTATTCATACGCTTTGATTATTGACTTTATGAATATGATTGTATAAGTTTTCAATAAACTCATAATAATACTTAATGTCACCAACCTAGATACAAATTGAGTAATATAGTCCATCAGGTACTTGATGATTTGATTTTAATAGTTGTTTAATCATAGTTAATGTGCATCTAATGTCCCGTTATCTATTATATTGATCAAACATAGGACATGAAAGGTTCATTGGGTTAAATTTTCAATTATAAATCTCTTAACACACTAATATACTTTTGAAGTCAAATCAATCAAATATCACATAAAATCAATTTGCATTTATTTATTCATATTGAGTGTATTTAAATCCTAAAAAGATTAATGTGTAAAGAATTGTTGACAAAATGTATACAATTTAAGTATGACATCTATTAAAAATATTCAATTTGTCTCGTATTTTTTATTTCGGGTTAACCGATCCACCCGTGACACATATCATATTGTCACCTTTAATCTAAAAATAATGATCAAGTTCCTCGTATATTAATTAAAAAAATATATTATTTATTTCAAAGGAAACTTATTTAATATGTGTTATTATTTTAAAGGAAACTTATTTTATAGATCATCGTTGTTATTTTGTAGATTATGAACCATGAATAATATATATATAGATAGATAGATTCACGAGACATTATATATTTGTTAATATATTATATTTTATTTATTATCTATTGTTTTAATTATATATAGTAAAAATACTAATGAAGAAATCAAACTATCAATTTATTATTATTTCTTATGCATTTGCATTGTTCAGAGATAATTTTGTGTTAGGAATAATGTCTCATTTTAAACATGACATAATTATAAGGTCGTTTTCACGGGAAGAATTTAGTTGAATGCTTCCAAATCAAGTCCAAAATCGTTTACTTTTTCAGTCGCTAGTACGACTATGATTAAAAGAGTATCAACTTTTGATTTTTTACTAGTCATTTTTAATTAAGATTTTATAGTCTTTTAATTATTACATCTAACAACATAATTTAAGCTAAATAAATATTCTATCTATCACGTGATCATTTGGGTAAAACAAATGCTTAACTACGATATTTTTTTCCTCGTATAGATTATTATCACAAATTTAAGACAAAAAAAAATATAAAACTTAGGAATTAGGTTAGTGTTTTATGTTTGACTAGTTTATTAATTTCCATTATCCAATTTCACTCGTGAACAGCAAGGGAAATATTTTATTATACGTCAACTCAACCTCATGGGAATCGAGTTAAGAAATATTATTAAAAAATTTAACCTAAAATTTGGTAATTCAAGATTCGATTAAGCACAAAACAATTAAGCTCCATTCAATGTAACTTAATCAATAATTATAAACTTAAGGCATACTCTAATAATAATAATAATCATGTATAATTAAAAACCTAAGAGTTAGTATATATAATGATAAATAACACAAAAAATATTATAATATACCACGTGACGAAAATAAATATATTATAATATTATTATAAAATCAAGCTCAATGGCGGTGGAATAACACGATGTTCTCGTATTTCCAAAATTTAAAAATTCTGAGCGGTCATCTAGCTTTTATTTATGATTGTTTTTTAATTAAAATATATTTTTATTTTAACAATATATTTACTAAATGATATTTCACGTGTTTCAGGCTACCAATTCATTATGAGTTAATACAAGAATTTATATCTTGGCTATTAGTTTTGCTAAGAATAAATTTAGTAGTTAATTTGAAGCTAATTAACTATTGATTAGTTATCATTTTTCACTACTAAAATTAAAATATTCCAAATTCATAATTATTTGAAATCATAAAAACTTTTCTCTTGCATTGAAAAATAGTTAAAATCCCTCGCACCCGTAATTGATCTCATATAAGATTTAAAAAACTTTAAACTGTTTTCCACAATTCCATCCAAAGACCTTTCCTTTTGTTTGATGAATTTTTATTTCCGTATACAAGATTTTGAATGTTATATAGGTTTATAATTTATAAATAATATTGAATCAATGTTATTCCTATAAAATAACAAAATGTTGTTATATATATATATATTAAAATTAAAATTTCAACTCAAATATTTTATTATTTTATAAAAACAAAGATATTTATATAATATATGATATAATACATAAATAAAAAAAATGTAGTAGGTATTTATTAAAATCTGAATAAGAACTAAAAACTAGACATTTTGAGTGCTTCATTATTTTGGACTTCAATACAACATTTATCGGGCTTCCTGGTTTTGTGTATAGTAAAATAAAAGTCTTTTAGGTTTCAGAAAACAATCATCAACATTATAAGTCTTATTCAATATTAAATATGTTTTATTCAATCATCAACTTTGTTAACACCATTATTATGAAAATTACAACAAATGAGTTAGTTCAACTGGTCCAACAGAACTGTCCATTATTTTAAATAATAAAATTTTAATTGAATTTATATAAAATTGCTAAAATTAATAAAATTAATCTATTTTTTGGTTAAAACAATTTAATAAAAAAATTTAAAAAATCAAAATTTTTGAACAAATTTTAAAAATACATTTTTTTATAAAGATAATATTTTTTAGTTATTTTTTAGTTATTTTTTATAAACATACAACTAATACCTTTTAAATTTTCTCTTACTTCATATTCACGTTTTTTTTTTTTTAATTTCTCTCTATAATCTTCATAAGTACCGGAAAATAAAATCTATTTTTTTTAAATTATACTTTAAAATATTTATTAAATATATTTATTTATATATTTATAATTTTGATTTCTCACATTTTCATCTTCTTTTACTTGTTTATATTCATTTATTATTTATTAATCATATATTATTTATTATTTATAGATTTGTTAGAAATACATGCTGAGATCAAGAGGGGTGAATTGATCTAATAAAGAACTTTTGACAAATTTTGATTACAGATTATAATTTCAAATATTTAAGAACCCAATTCAATCAATATTTGACTAAATGACAACAATCTTGAAAAAAAGAAAGAAAGAAAGAGATGAAAGAAGAACAAGAACACCAAATTTATACCGGTTCACCTAATCCACTAAGCTACATCCAGTTTGTAACCAAATTCTAGTTGAGTTTCACTAATCAATTACAAAAACAAATTGCAGGAAATCAATTTACACCAAGAACTATAACTCAGTTCTTGAACATATGACAACAACCACAATTTCAATTTCTTAACCCAGTGCCCACACTTTCAGACACTGAAAATATAAAAAGACGAATGAAGAATTGAAATGTTTGAAGAAACTACAGCAATCAAATCAATATACAGATACAAA